ACAATGTGCATGTATGTGTGCGTGTGTGTAGCACTGTGTGCCATAATTCTTTGAAAGCAAGACCTTGCAAATCCTGGTCTGGAATCTGAAGACAAAACTCTCGACTGAATTCCAAGGAATTTTGCCCCAGTAATACGTTGGGAACCCCTATGAATCTTGGTCCTCCGAATTCTCACACTGAGGAACAATCCAAGATTCTGCGTGTGCATGTGTGCGTGTGTGTTGTGAATGTTCACCACAGCATCCCCTGTTCCACCTGGACRAGTAGATCCAAAATCGCAGCAACTTTACCTCTACTGTAGAAGATGAAGCATGCTTGAGATGAATCAATCCAGCAAGGAAACAGTGTTGCCTCCATAGTTAGCAACATGAGGGACAATAGAAACGTTACCTTTATGCAAGCAATGCCTTCATGAGTAGTGTGTGTGTGTGTGTGTGTGTGTGTGTGTGTGTGTGTGTGTGAGCGAGAGAGAGAGAGAGAGAGAGAGAGAGAGAGAGAGAGAGAGAGAGAGAGAGAGAGCATCTGTCCACAGGAAAATGGAAGATTCATTTGTTACTATACGTAGTAACAAATGTATCTTGCCACCTGCTGCAGTGTGGGCAGATTCGCTAGTTCTTTTTTGTTTTGTGTGCTCTGTGACGACACCCTCAATCTATATTCAATCTATATTCCTTATAGATTGACAGATTCACAATTAAGCTCAAGAATTCTCTAGGCTCCTCATTTCCAGATAGGGCTCTGTTCCACATGCCGTTGGTGATTCTATCAGGGGCCCCTGCTTTCTGAGTTATGCTAGTCTGACCGCTTGAGGTGATGTCCCTTCAAAAATGCCACTTGACGGTATGGTACCCAGTGATGGCACGACTTGGCCTTCCTTCACCTCCCTAATGAAAATGGCAGGCCCTAAATTGGCAAACCTAAACTCCTCTCCGTCCGAACGAATCAAACTGCTTTCTGCCAGGCCAGTCCTTCGAAAGCATGGCCCACTTGTATTTATACGACCTAAAGTTTCCGAGGAGGGGCTTGTGCTGGTCATGGTTTAAGCAGTTTGATGGTGTTGGCGGTCACAACATGGCATAAATACGGTCTGAGGGCTCCAGAGTCCAAACGTGCGCACATAATAGGAGGTATGGGTCATGGAACCTCCACAATACATTACCCCCCCTGCCCCCCTGCCCCCCGTCTCCTTCATTCAAGGATTGCTATTAATTAGTTGCCTGTCTGCCCGTTCCCGTCACATCTTTTGTTTTACGTCAGGAATTCCATGCTTCTCTTGCCATGTAGAAGATAGTAATCGGATCGATGATGTTAATTGGAGTGGAAGGTTCTTGTCATCAAATGCTGTCTAATGAAACTTACAGAAGCGTTGAACGCATGCAGCTTGAATGCAATGCATTTAAAAAAAAAAAGAGAAAAAAAAGCATCTTCCTGAGTGGTGGTCAGGACACGTTACTTTAAACTTCAAAAGGATGCATTAAAAAAAAAAAGAATGCATAACTTGAGGCCACATGAAGATGCAATGAACCCAGATCGTTAAGACAGTTATCAACAATGCAAGTCCAGATGAATGTCAACATCTGATGATTACTAATAATCAAGATCGTGTCCAGACAGAATGAGACGAGATAATCATACACAGACGAAGGAGAGAGGGGGGGGATTAGACAAAGGAGAGGAAACAATGCCCACTCCTGCTTCGGGCTCCCTCCGCCAACACCACTTCAATAATCAAAAGTCTGAACGAGTATCTGAAATAACCTCAATGTGCCACGTGGCACGTCTAATTAGTCCCTCATCAGCACTGGAGCAATGTCAACATGAAGACAACCAGGTACGTATTCACGATCTCTCCACAGTCCTGATCTTCCTCTTCCTCGCAACCAGTCACCTCATGTAGACAGCGTGGACAATGCCACGTCATAAGTAAGACAGGTGGCAATGCCACATCATCAATGAAGACCAATAGCAGCGCCACATATACCAGAGGCAGCGCCACGTCAGCATGCCACGTAGACCATAGGCAGTGCCACATATACCAGAGGCAGCGCCACATCCGCATACCACGTAGACCATAGGCAGCGCCACATATACCAGAGGCAGCGCCACATCAGCATGCCACATATACCAGAGGCAGCGCCACATCATCATGCCACGTAGACCATAGGCAGCGCCACATATACCAGAGGCAGCGCCACATCAGCATGCCACGTAGACCAGAGGCAGCGCCACATCATCATGCCACGTAGACCATAGGCAGCGCCACATATACCAGAGGCAGCGCCACGTCAGCATGCCACGTAGACCATAGGCAGTGCCACATATACCAGAGGCAGTGCCACATCAGCATGCCACGTAGACCATAGACAGTGCCACATCAGCATGCCTGGCGTACAATGCCAGCGTGCTGCCTCCCCCTCGTGTCGTCGTCCGCAGCTCTGATGCACAGCCAGTGTCTAGCCAGCGTCGCGCTAGCATAATGCCAGCGTCAAGTCAAAGTCAAGCCAGCGTTGAACCATCATAGCAAGACTGAACACCTCGAGGTCAAACTTTAAGTAGTGTTTGACGAGGCTCTCTGGCCTCGAGTATCCTCCCCTCAGTCGTCCAGATCGAAGGCCTGGATTGTACAGTTGCAGAATTCCCCCTTGGACTTGATGCTGTCTGGGTACCTGCATACAAACAAGTGTGTGTGCTTGACCGGTGGCCTGGACTGGGTACCTTTGGGCTTTGACTGTTGGGGTCGCGACAGTTGACAAAAGTCAACTGTGGCGCGCCCATGCCCTGAATCCCTGTGTGGGGTCCCTTACCTCGTTTTTGGCCTGGCTGAGGGCGGCCAGGTGGGCCCTCAGATTTCTACGAAACATATGGCATGGGTTATTGCAAAGAGGGGGAAATGAAAGAAAAGAAAAGAAAAGAGAAAAGAAAAGGTGCATCATGGCAGTCTACACCTGTGTGACAGTACTTATCAGATGTTTATATTGACTTCAGGCTGGCAAATGGAGAAGGAACTAGACAGCCCCTTGTGGTAAAGAAGGGAAAAAAAAGGGGAAGGAGCCGTATCCAAAAGGCGGTTCAGACAAAAATGAGGGAAACAAGTTCAAATAACGACATTAGTCAGATTACAACAATGACTGATGGCAAGAGAAATGTGCCTATGGCTCTTAATGGGCCAGATGCCTTGGCTAGCTCACATATTGATAGTCACAGAAGGCTTCAGTGAAATTGGCTTTTCTTAAAAATAAATTTGTTTTGGGCAATTTCTCAATTTGTGGGTGTCATCCTTGGAATGGGGCCACACTAATCTTCTGTGTATCATTCAATATTAACGGATGTTGGCCTGTGTGTGCCTGTGTGTGTGTGTGTGTGTGTGTGTGTGTGTGTGCGTGAGCGTGTATGCGAGAGTGTGTCTTTGTGTGTGTGTGTGTGTTTGTGTTTGTGTGTGTGTGTGCATGCTTGGTGTATGTTTGGGGGGAAGGGGGCTTGCAGATTGCAGCTATTGAATCTAGCCACTTTCGGCCGCTCCGGACGGATGAGTCGACTGGGTTTAGTTTGTCACCTTCTATTCTTGCGGACGCAATAGCTTCTGATCTGAAGAATGGGAAAACACCATTTTTCTGCTGTGCAACAGTGCGTTCCTCGAAGTTCCTCCCTCTCCAAAGAGTTGTAGTTCCACCTTCGGTCCTCTCTAGACCATTCTTTTAATTCTTCGACATTTCGATTTTGAGTTTTTTTTATACACATTAATACTAGATAACCAATTGCAGGGAGCCTGCGAGCGAGAACTCAATTCATGGCCAACTCGAACTCGCTGATTAGCATGCATGACTGGTCCAAACTGAGAGCAGAAGTGAACAGGACAAAATCACACCGGTGTAGAAACACACCCAAGACTAAAGTCTCTGGACTAAGAGAGCTGTCTTCTCGCCCAATCAATATCACCAGAGACTAGCAGTTTCTGACTCAGGTATGACTGCCGTCACTGCCTGTACTACTGCCTACTTTCTTCCCCCGAATACGATGTACGGTCATTATTGCTGTATTTGGGGTATCTTTGGTAAAAAATAAATAAAAAGCAGCTGTAATGACCGTACGTTGTATTCGGGGGAAGAAGGTAGGCTGGCCTATCTAACTCTTCCACCATGCTGTCGAGCCCTGTTCCACGCCTGCTGAGGATTAGCTGAAAAGACGCTGACCCCGCTGGAGGTCTCGATGATGACGGCCAGGTAAGTATCCGTCAACCTTCTGTCATGGCCTTGCTCACTGCCACCCGTGATGTGCAAGGCATGCAACCAGATATGATGCCCGTCTTCCTGCTCACCACCTACCGCTATGGCACTGGTGGCTGCACAGTCATCGTATGCCTTCTGCTCCCACGTGTTGACGTTGCGCTTAAGCAGCCTGTCGGTGACCTGTTGCACGAATGCTTGATTTCAGTGGCCGGGTCTTCCTTGGGCTGGTATTTACTGCATGAAGTCTCCACAGTTGACCGAAACCTACCGGGGCCAGGCAGTGTTAACGACTTCCCAACTGCGCCTACCAGGCCATGTGCTTATTGACCTGGGGACCGAGGGCCCACATGTCCTTAACTGCCTGCTACCCGGCCTAGGGGCCTTGTAAAGTCTTAACTTTTGAGAAATGCCATTACGCCATATTAAGGGATTATATCATACAGAGTTGTTGACAATGACAATATATATATTGAACCGACAGTCCGTAGAGTTTTCCATCTGGTGTGGGTGAGTGATAGTCTGCTTTGATTTTCGTCACAGGTACCTTGAGGGCAGTGGTTGGTGCCCACCGCAGGGTATCGGTTGCCGGGCAGTCGTTGATGCTTAACCACAGCCGGGGTTAAAGTGGATTATCACTTACAGTGTAATCAGTTAGGGGATTCTGCAGACTGTTGAGGGTTCAGCCTCCTGATGAGTCGGTGAAACTTCGATGAAACAGTTTGTTACATCCCCTCGTTTGTTGTCCTCTTCTCCCTCTCTGCCTATGGTTTACCGGGCAGCTCTGTTTGACTATATATATATCGTCAAACAGAGCTGCCTATGAGTCGGTGGATTATCACTACGCGGACAAAAAAAATGATAATTAACTCAAAAAATTGTCACAGCGCTGGTGCCCATGACAGCCCTGATTTTGAGTCTAAATTAAAATTATTGTTCTAAAGACAAACGTTAAAAAACAGGGCCAGATGCTATCTATGGACCGGAGAAGCCAACAGGACCACATGCATCAACAGGGAAGCCTGGAACCACATCATCAGGAAACCGCAGGAGGGGGGGTTTGGTCTAATAGATCCCAAACAGGAATCCGTAGCACTGCAGATGAAATGGATGATCAAGATCCTAATAAGACAATTCATTCCATGGACCCAGCAGATGGCTCTAGACAGTATCAAAAATCTAGCACCTATCAACTCCCCTCCGAACACGAGAGGGCTCTTCAAGAAAATGGCGAAGGACTGGACAATCAAATCAGGCAGACCTAGCAGAAGAAACCCAACAGATCACATTACAAGCCCTACTCCAACAGCAAATCCATACTGAAAGCCAACCCTCAAAGCTTGGCGAAGAATGATGCCGAGCAAACACGGGGCACCAGGAAACAGAGAAGAGGTCCTGAGACAACCTCTGTTCCGCAACCCCTGGATCATAGACCCGAGTGGCTCACCGTGGACACTACGCACAAAAGACAGGAGATGGCTATCCTGGGTGGAAAAAGGGGTGTGGCAGGTGAAACACATTTGGGCAGAAGATCGAAGACAATGGTTAACCTAACTAAAAGGCTGCCATGCCCTCACCGAAAATCTGATACAGATTCAGAAGAGCATCTCAACACAGTGGCTCTCCCTCTTCAGGGAGGACTTCTCATGGAAATCCGGGGACTGGGGCACACTAATTTCCCAAACTCAGCCTCGCAGAGCTTACCGATTTGTTTCTCGAACCAATGCACCCAGCTACCTCTCCAAATTGTTCTCCTACCCGATCACTAATCACAACCTACAAGAGTTCGAAATTATGAACAAAGAACCCCAATGTGAGATGCCAGAATCCTTCCGACTGAGGAAAGTGAGGGTCACAAAAGCCAAACCGTGGATAATCTTCCAACCTGATCTCTGCATTTCAGACCTCAAATTCGACCCGAAAGAGTGGATCTGGAAACAGGGAAAATCCGGGAGAACGAGAACGATATTCAAACACGATGTAAAATTCAGATATGACTTAGGATTACAAACTACAGACCTGGATCCCAGACTAAAAGAAAAATGGAGGGAGATCCTGAACCTAGAACGAACTGACGCCATTTCCATCCCCTGGACGAAGTACATGTCCATCAGACCGGTTAGGATCTGAAGCATGCAGTGGCTCGTAGCCCATGCATCCCTGCCCGTCAACCCATGGCGCCACAAGAGGAGGATACATACGGATCCCGACAGCTCCGAATTGTGTGTTATGTGCACAGCCAACAGACCAGAAGACATACCCCACTGCCTCTTGTATTGTACTGAAGCAGCTTGGATATGGAACAAAGTTCGCGTCCTATGGTCCCTTCTCTTCTCATCACCCCCTCCCCCCACATCTCCCCAAAACATCCTCCTTCTATCCAACAATACTAAAAATCTCAAAGGCGGCAAGAAATCTGGTTTCACCTTCTCAGGAAGCTGGCTCTATGGGTGATCTGGAAAAGGAGGCGTACCAAGACTATCGAGAGAACTGAGGCGGCAAGGGAAGAAATGTGGGCCCTACTGTTGAGTATGATGGAAACTGAGATTCGGTGCAGATGGAGGGAGGTTACATCAACAACAAAAGTCAGACCAGAAAGGCTAGCCACCAAGAGACGGTCCTTCATGAGAGACTGGCTCCTGCAGGGAAAGATTGCAACAGTGGCAGATAACAGATTGATCTGGAAGAAATGGCACAACGAAACTCCAGCAAGGACGACGACCCAGTGTGCGGAAAACTGAGACCTTAGTCTCTACAATACAAAAAACTGATTCTGAGAGGAAAAGCAGAAGGGCAAGCTGACAGTCAATCCTCCTACATAGGAGAAATCAATGCTGGTCAGGGTTCCTTCGGCCAGACAGAAGGAAGCGTGAGAGTGTTCACCATGTACTCCAATTTTTCGTCTTGTTGGGGGACAGGAACCGGACTGACGCTCCTCAGAATGGATATGGAGCCAGGACCATAAGGACCTGTTTCCGGACGGTCTGGATTCAGTCCGGAATCCAGACGTCCGGTCTGGAAGGTCCGGATCTGGCAAATTTCGAGAAAAAAAAACAAAAAAAAACGGTCCAGGACCCTTCCCCATTGAAGAGCCAAGCCCCCAAAATTGTTTTGGGGGGGTTTCAGGCCCGTTTATGCTTCTTTTGGGGGTCCGGACCATGCTCTCTTTCTATAGTACTTTATTAGACGACCCCAATTTTTAAATTATTATTAATTCATTAGAATCATTACCTTTTATTAGTTTTTATTACTTTTTAAAGTCTTTTCTTAAGCTTTTTATAGTTTTCGACTTTTAACTCAAGTTTGGTTAGGAATTCTGACATGACTCTGGGGCAAAAGTGGTTTGCATTGTTATTCTGCATAACATACTTTTTTTTCAGATTTTTTTTTTTTTTTT